TTCTTTTAAATGGCTCTGACGATCCAAGCTGAGTTGCCTGATCGGCAGGCAACTCAGCTGGGATCGTCAGAGTTTGGCTCGTCAGAGTCATTTAAAAGAAAAAGAGCCTCTGATGATCGCACGGCTCAGCTGGGCATGGGGGGCGGGGGCAGGGATTTTTGCTACCGGTTCTCCGAACTGCCCACCGCTATTGCTACCTACTCGCCCGAGCTGGTCTGAACCGGGAGCATTTCACCGTGATACAGGTAGTCCTCGACTTACAACAGTTTGTTTAGTGACTTTTCAAAGCTACAATGGCACTGAAAAAAGTGACTTATGATCATTTTTCGTGCAGGCTGCATTTCTCTAAGGACATCTACCCATCCTATTAGACTAAATAGGGTGGCCTAGTCCCTTTCCTTAAATATTCCCACCTCATAGGACCTAGGAAATTCCAGTAGCAACCCCTGCCCTGTAGAACACTCTTCCCAATGAAGTTGGCAGAGCTTTATACTTCTAGCCTTCTGAGGATCTGGATTTCCCCCCAAGGTCTGGGATAGAACGTGATGACAGCATGTCAGAAGCTTGACTTGGCACCATTTTTTTTTTGTTTGTTTTAAATGTTTACAGTTTTGATACTTTTTGCATGTTTTTTTTATATTGCTTTAGTTCTTGATTGGGAACCACCCAGAATTTGGTAAAAGAAGGGTGGTTATAGAAATGTTTTAAATCAATAAATAAAATACTCTCTTTTATACAGTTATGGGTCTCTTTTCTAGATACGGTAGGCCAGTGATGGCTAATTTTTTCAGCACTGAGTGCCAAAACTGGAGCATGCGCCAGAAGCGCCGGAACCCAGAAGAGAGCAGCTGGCCACTGTGTTATGGAATTCAAGGAACTGACAAGGAATTCCGGGATCAAACAGAAAAGGTTTATTGCGCAAGGCTCAGTAGCAACACAAGAAGCAAAATCTGAACCCTGAGGGGTTCTGATGCAGTTATTTTTATACATACATTTGACATCTTATGATTGGTTACAGTTTTGACAGCCCCCCTATCTCAGCTGCCCCCCCCTTGTTGCTATACTATAGAAGCTAAATAACTTGTGCCCCATCACTAAGTAGATCACAGGTTTCTTGCCTATCTAAGTTTCCTGCCGTTATGTCTGTGGTTACCTCTGCTTGGCTATGTGTGACTTCCTGCTCACGATGTTACCTCTTACAAGCATGCACATTTATAAAGTAGGTCACATATAATAAGATTCATATTATTCCATATTATTCCATATATTTTATTTATTTATTTATATGCCGCCCTTCTTCGGAGACTCAGGGCGGCTTACAATGCGTTAAGCAATAGCCTTCATACTTTTGTATATTTATACAAAGTCAGTTTATTGCCCCCACAAACTGGGCCTTCAATTTACCTACCTTAGAAAGGATGGAAGGCTGAGTCAACCTTGAGCCTGGTGAGATTTGAACTTATTCCCCCCTTTGGAAGTTTTTTTCCATGGAGAAACTTCCACTGCTTCTCATTTGTTTCATGCTCTTCAGTAGGTAACATTCTATACTTCTTAATAAGCAAGCAAGCATATAATATTTGACAGTACATGGGTAGGACATATAGTAAGGAGAAGGAAAGGATAGTTAATATATATGACTTTCAATTCTCAATTTCTGAAGGCACTCTCTCCAGTTCCCTGGGTGCGAGTTGTACATGCCTGTATCAGAATCTTCATCTCTATCAAGGGGATTGGAGTCCATCTGATGGTCAAGAAGGCATTCCATCAAAACTAACTCTTTCTCAACTTGTATCTCCTTCACTGCCCTCATAGTCTTTTGAATGCGTTATAGAAATCTCCTTGCAATTTGGCCACTGCTGTTTTGGTTCTCCATCTAATATTTTTCTCAAGGACCATTGTGGCCCTGGTCCTGACCCAGAGATCTGGCTCAACTGGAACAGCATTATAAGATGAAGGACCAGCTGACAAACACAGCCAGCATTTTTGACCTAGGGCAGGGTCAGACTGATTAACTAGGCTTTGACCCAATTCCAGTATCCTTAACATGTAGTTCCCTTTTTTCAATTGTTGTAGGGGCCCGTTCTCCCTTTGTTCTACCCCTCCCTTCACTGGGATTGTCAGACACTTGTCCTTAGGTCTTAGGGTTGGCCTAGGTCCAGGGTATCGACCCCACCTATCGATGACACGTCATTGGCGAGAGTGGACCTGACCCACGGTGACCCCACTCTGTGACCTGTTCCTGTCCAGTTCCTTGGGGTTCTCAACATCCCGGATCCTCCCTCAAGGACAAGGGATGTTTCTTGGGCATTCTCACAACATTGGGAACTACTGTTCAAGATGTTATCACTTAATAGACCCCTTGCCAATAACATCCAAAGCCACAAAAGTTCATAATTGCCCCCTCCCCATACACCCAAGATCTTATTCAATCACAATACCCTTATTCTACAAAATCACCACGTCAGGAAGAGGGTTAGGGTATATGTAACTTGGGAAAAGGCAATATCAGTCTTAGGTATCCCACAGAACCAGTCCTTATTTGTTAAATACAATGTCCACAGTCCTAGGAGTAGGACAGCAGCACAGAGTCCCCACTCCCTGGTTTCCTCAAACATAAGTATCTTCAGGAGTTTCGTACTGCTCTCTGTCACAGTCAATAGTATTAGGCACAGCACCTGTCTTTTGGGGCTGGGGGCGATTTCAAAAGAATAGGTGTCCTACACAACAATTTACAATCAGGACAATCAAACTCACTAAGGCCAGACCCACCCATTCCTTGACAAGTGGCCAGGTTCCTAATACATTTATATCTAACAATTGGAATGTTGTCTTCCTCCATCACAATCTTCGGCCATACGTGGAGGGTCAGCTTCCAGTGTGATGCCAGTAAGGCCTCTTCTGCCCCGTATGTAGCCTGCCCGTTGCCGGTAGGACAGTTATAGGGGGCGCTTCTTCAAGTGCACCACTAGAGGATGGGTTTCATCTTGAGCTCCCAATTTCATCAGCTGTGGACTTAACTCAAGTCCAGTGAATCCAAGACTTGGATTCCAACACTTGTGTTTTTTTTTTTTAATTTGATTTATATGCCGCCCTTCTCCGGAGACTCAGGGCGGCTTACAATGCGTTAAGCAATAGCCTTCATACTTTTGTATATTTATACAAAGTCAGTTTATTGCCCCCACAATCTGGGTCCTCATTTTACCTACCTTAGAAAGGATGGAAGGCTGAGTCAACCTTGATTAAAAAGGGATGTTTAATTTCTTTTCCTGAGACTGTTAAAAGCCCTCTGTCCTTATAAACGGTGGCATGGACATAAAGGTGAGGAAAGCATATTTAGAATCAGTCCAAATGTTTACACTTTCATTCTTTGTCCTTTCAAGTATCCGGATCAAAGCCCATAGTTCTGCTACTTGGGCACTAGTGCCCTTTGGGAGTGGTCCACTTTCTATGACTTGGTCCAGTGAGACCACTGCATAACCTGCATAGCGTTCTCCTGTTGAGATGAAACTTGACCCATCAGTAAACAAATTATGGTCTGCTGCTTTCAGGGGAACGTCAGTTAGGTCAGGCGTGCATGAGATCTGGCTTTCGATGACCTTTCTTTTTTGACTGGATCCAAACCCAATTCTTTGGCTCAAATGGATGGAAGGTCTCCACTGGAGGAAGCATCTGGAATCATGTGCTCTGCTTCCACAGATTTGAGACATCTGTGCAGGGCTAAAAGACATGAGAACGAGGTCCCCTCCCTCCTTTCTGGGTGAGGAAAGGCATTGCAGGATTAGAAAGGGGGGGTACATAACTTCCAGGCAGAACAACACATCAGTATTACACTTAAGTGAACTTAAAACGTTTCCTCATAAATTTGGGCACAGAGAAGAAAGAAAAGTTGCCAGACCAAACTGGGTGAGTCATTTTCCTTCCTCTCAGCACCTTCAACTTTTTTTTTTTAAACAATTTAAAATTCATATCTCTGGAGATCAGGCATTTAATAGTTGCAGTTACTTTGAAGGCAAAAACTTAGACATACACACTAGTCATTCCCGCCTTAAATGTCAGTTGAATTAGGGAAGGCACAGATCTTAACAAACGTACCACGTGGTTGCATAGAAGACAGAGAAAGAGACTAACAAACAAACAACAAACAACAAAACCTCCAACATTTCCCTTTTCTTTTAAGGACCTTTATTTAGCCAAATTGGTTTTTTTTTCTGTGTCATCCTCAGCAAAGCCCATTTCCTACATTTGTTTTCCTCTCTCTTCTTCAGGCTGGCCAGGACAGGCATCTGCCTCTCGTCCCATGGCTCAAACAAGTTTCCCAAAGGGGTATCTACCACCCTTGAGCTGCAACTTCCCATGTTTCCCCTTCCGATGTGGGGTTTCACACTTCGGTTCAACCGGGCTACACAACATCAGTTTTCAGGAAAAAGGCCTGGAGAGGACTCTGTTTCCCTTACGGCGTATGCGTACTTCTTGTTAGGGAATTCTCTGGCACTGGTTTTTCAGACCTCTCTTATAAATGGGCATCTGGGAAGACCTGCTGCCTCCAACACAGACTACAGACACCTCCTACACTTCACAACTTCACAATTTCCTAAAAATCCTGGGGTTTGCTTTTGGGATTTTCACAGGACAAAAAAAACAACAAATTTTCCTCTCACTCGAGCCATGCAGACTCGTATGAATTCTACTCGGCATTTGTGAAGCCAGTCAGGGTTCTACTTCACTTACTATTTGCCACTGATCAATCATTCTCACAGAACTTCTTTAAGTCACCTGGGTTGGCCTTGGGGTCTCCATAATCCAAACTGAAACCTTTCTTTAAAGTTATCTAACATACATTGCAGGGGTATCCGTGAGCCACCTCTTTTGCTACTACTACCACCCATGTTCTAATACACTACCATTGACCTGATGTGCTGGACATTCCAATGGTCACAATGCGGGAACTGCAATGGTTTAACCACCCACACAGTCCTGACTGGAGACTTTAGGATGATGCCTTGTCTCCTAGGGGGTGATCAGTCCCCTCTTCCACTCCAAACGGGAGTAGGTAACAACTCCTTTACTTATACTTGCCTGCAGGCGTCTTCCACCATCCACGGACTAAAGGGCCGATTCTGTTTGTCCCTTAAGGATCCTTGACAGGAGTGCTTCGCTGGCGGGCATGTCCTCTATCCCTTCAACGAAGTCTCCCTGTAGGCAAGGGCTACGGAGCTGGCTTGGACGTTCGAGTGCCGAGACAGGGGTTTGCCCACCAGGGCAGTCCGTCTGGAAGGTCAATGGCCTCTTCCCGTCAGTCCCATCTGGGGTGCCAGAATTTGTTATGGAATTCAAGGAACTGACAAAGAATTCCGGGATCAAACAGAAAAGGTTTATTGCGCAAGGTTCAGTAACAACATAAGAAGCAAAATCTGAACCCTGAGGGGTTCTGATGCAGTTATTTTTATACATACATTTGACATCTTATGATTGGTTACAGTTTTGACAGCCCGCCTATTTCAGCTGCCCCCCCTTGTTGCTATACTATAGAAGCTAAATAACTTGTGCCCCATCACTAAATAGGTCACAGGTTTCTTGCAAACCTATCTAAGTTTCCTGCCGCTATGTCTGTGGTTACCTCTGCTTGGCTATGTGTGACTTCCTGCTCATGATGTTACCTCTTATAAACATGCACATTTATAAAGTAGGTCATATATAATAAGATTCATATTATTCCATATTATTCCATATTAACTGTGCATGTGCTCTTCCTTTTCTGTCATGCATATGCGTGCTGGACAGCTGGTCTGGCATGCATGCACACTGGCCAGCTGTTTTCTTCCAGGTTCTGGTGCGTGCACAAGCGCAAGCCAGCTGGTCTTCACATGAAGACCAGCTGGATGTTGCTCATGTGTGCATTGGAACCTGGAAGAGCAGCTGCCCCCCACGCGCATGCGCACCAGACCAGCTGTCCGGCGTGCATGCGCATGACAGAACCTGAAGAGCAGCTGGCAATGGCGTGCGTGCCCAGAGAGAGGGCTCTGAATGCCACCTCTGGCACGTGTGCCATAGGTTCGCCATCACCGCAGTAAGCCATTTTCTAATTTTGATAAGAGAAAGGCACACCACAATGGATTTCGTTTAATACTAGTATTTGCAGCTTTGTGAAGATGTTGGACTGCTTTGTGCACTTCCACTCACAACTGAATCAGTGATAGATTTTATTTTTAAAAAATATTGTCCCCCTAATATTTTGAGCACAGTTGTTTAGAAATAACCTCACACCTGCTAAATACATTGAACTATTATAGCTCCTTAGTGTAGGATACATCAACATTTAACAACTGGGAATCTAAGACAAATGGAACTTTTAGGTTTATTTATAAATGTTTTTCAGATTATTCTTAGGCTCCAGCTAGACATTATAATACTGTAAAGGACACAGTGTGTTGATAAAATAACATGTGTTACTGTAATAGACATTTTAAGAAAGACTCCAAAGACAGACAAAATGTAATCAGCACCATGTTTCTAATTCTTACATTTGACCTTTTCTCTCTCTCTCTCTTAAGTCTAAAGTTTGTTCTAAACAGCCTGAAGAACAGGAATGAATCATCTGAGTTTGTTACTAAACATGGATGGTTATACATTCTGGAAGAAACCCCCTCATTTGAATAGAATTGGGCTCATTCTTTGGTGCAACTTAAGCACTGAATGAATTTGATCATACAACAAGTCTGATTTCTTGATGTTCTGACTTGCAATCGTCATTTTTGTTACTGCTAGAATTTCCACCGAACCAAATATAAACATATTTGTGCCAAGTATATTTAAAACCTAAAGAAGTAAATAATAACCTCCTACCTACACACAATAGCGAGCGCAAAATTTGTTCAAAGAAACATAATATATATAAAGAAAGCATGACCCTAGTACTGTAGTTATGTGAAGCTAGTGGATGAGGGCATAATTACAGAGTATACCAAAAGTCAGTGGGTGGTTTCCTTTAAATTTGTTTTAAAGTTTAATTTTTCTGATTCTTGTTCCTTTTTGTAGAACTGAACTTTTCTGTTTCTGTTTACCTACACAGTTCCTTTCAACTTGATCCTTGTGTTATTCATCCAGGAATTATTAAGAACAACATTAATGCCTGATATCATGCCAGCCATTAATTTGGGTAAAATAGAACTTTTTTCTTTATTTTGCCTGAGCACAGGATAGGTGCTCCTTTGGGCTCTGTATATCTTGTGTCTAGAAATGCCTGCTATTTGCTTTATTCCCTTTGTTCTCTGTTCTTTTCCCCTTTTGCACCCTTCCCCAATTTTGTTTTTAATGAAAGGATTCTCTTTCTCACATTGCCTCCTAAGGTTGCTTTACTTTGAAGTGAGTGAATCAACCCACAGAGACAAATGGCTTAAGCCTCTAATGTCTTGGCATGGGAGCAAATTCTAGCAGCTGTTTTTGGATTCCATCGGTACGGCCTTCTGTAGAACCAGGGTTCATAGGGCGCTTTCTCAAAAGATGCATAGACTGTGCTCATTCAAGCCAGTTTTGCAGTAACATCATTCCCACACTTTTCTGTATTTTTAAAGCTCAATTTGTGTCCCTCTTCTAGTTTTTGTACATGCTTTTTGTCTATAAAATATTGTTGTATGGGACACAATAAAATATTTTTCTCAGCAGGCTTGTTTAGTACTCAACCTTCCTTTAAATTATGATCAGGTAATAACTATTTCTAACAATATTATCTCTCTGGTGCATTCCAGATATGTGAGTGTGTATAAGCTAGGCTGGGGAGACAATATTGTAGTTCATCATTTATGGGTTTTGGATCTCCGATCCAGAGTAGGGTACTGTCTGAATTTCTAGAGTGGGGAATTTTCAATTTTCTAATCTACAGAATATGTGTCAGCATTCATCTTCAGTCTCTTGGCTTTTCAATCTTTGATTGTATAGCCATATGCTTGTTCATTCTGGATACTACATTAGTAATATGGTACCTAGTTCCAAATTCTGCAATTATTGGGGTGGAGAGGGGTGTTTTCAACATACATACATACACATACATTCACATGTCTATCTCTATCTCCATCTCCATCATCTCTATCATCTCTATCTCTATCTCTCTATATCTATCTGTCTGTCTGTCTATCTATCTATCTATCTATCTATCTATCTATCTATCTATCTATCTATCTCTATCTATCCGCCTATCTATCTATCTATCTATCTATCTATCTATCTATCTATCTATCTCCCATCTGTCTGTCTCTCTATCTCTGTCTATCTATACCTACCTACCTACCTACCTACCTACCTACCTACCTACCTACCTACCTATAGTAATCTAAGAACCAGGCTACATCTCTACAGGATCTTCCAAAGGGTTGAAAAACAAGTCAATTAATACCCTTTAAGACAGGATTTCCCGAAGTTTAATTGTATTGTTTTTATTGTTCACTTGTGCTCATTTTGATGTTTTGTATTTATATTGGAGGTTTGGAGTTTGGATTTTTAGGGGAGGTGTATGCATTAAGATTGCACAAAAGGGAAGTGTAATAGCAAAAAGTTTAGGAAGCAAGACTGATTTGGAGTTAAACATCAGCTACAAATAGGATTTACAATCCATCACCTGGTAGAAAGAAACAACCATCTCCTGGCCAAAAACCAAGCTGCCAAATTTAAACAGCATTTTCAAGTGATGAATAAAGTTCTTTCCTTAGTCCTTATGCTAAGGTTGCTGTTCTGGCAGTTTTGCAAGCCTGTAGAAGCCAAGAGAAAAGTACCTCTATGTGTGAAAGTACATTACCGAATATCAGACTCTGCTAAACCAAAGGGGCAAGAGTTCAGTTTACCTGGGAAATATATACACACACACACACCTTTTTTCTCTTCATTCCCTTTGTGTAAGCTGGGAATATGAAAGATAAAAATTCTGGAATACATCATGTGAACCTCAGACTAAACATAACCATCTGCTCCCCTTAATGGAATTGTTGGTTTTGTTTTTAACAAAATGTGAAAGTTCAATTGTTGTTGTAACCTAACCTGTGTACTTTTAATTTCCTCTCTTGAGTTTTGTAGAATGAACAGAGGGACAGTTAGCTTTAGGGTTGTAGGGTAGGCATCAACCTGGAGCCCCAAGTTTCCAATATAAAGAAGGAACTCAATATAACCTCCTTGTAGGCATATATGTCTTCTCTGTTTTTAGTAAGAATTGTTTTTTTCAAAATACAAAAGTACCTGTCTGGGATGCTAATTGTGACTTGGAGTAAATATATCCAATGGATTTCATTCAAACTAAGAGTCACTATGCAAATTATCATTGATACTCATGAATCAGTGAGGTAACCTAAAACTCTCTTTCTAAGACAGAACAGTAGAAGGTGACTTTATACTGCTTAAATGACAAGGTCATTTTTATTTCTTCCTCCTAGAGATGTTTGGTGACTGAACATGATAGTTCAGCCACCAAAGCGAGCCAAAGTTTGAGATATATATATAGTCTGGTCCTAGCACACAGAGGTGGGTTTCAGCAAGTTCTGACCAGTTCTGGAGAACCAGTAGTGGAAACTTTGAGTAGATCAGAGAATCGGTAAATACCACCTCTGACTTGCCCCGCCCCCATCTTTTCTCTGCCTCCCGAGTCCCAGCTGATTGGGAGGAAATGGGGATTATGCAGTATCCTTCCCCTGAAGTGGGGCAGGAATGGAGATTTTACAGTATCCTTCCCCTGCCACGCCCACCAAGCCATGCCACACCCACCATGCCACACCCATAAAACCGGTAGTAAAATTTTTTGAATCCCACCACTGCTAGCACAAGTAAAAAACAAAACATAGTAGAACCTACAAGAGATAAATTAGGTGCTGAAGTTAAGCTTGGAATGTGAGGAGAGTAGGTTTTCTAATAAGTGTCAGGAATAAAAAGGAGAATTAAAAAAAAAAAGCATGGTCAAAGTTGAAGGCCTAAAGGTCTGGTTCTAGATCAGTGCAACAAGAAAGAAAAATAAATAAATAAAACTGCTATATTAACACAGTTCCTTGATAGATAAAGATACATCCCAAGGAGGGAAACTTTGGCTCACACCCTGCCAAATAAACAAGCTCTACACTAATTTCTAACAGATTTGGGGCAAATCAATTCTGGGCAACCACAAAAAAAAAAGGCTCCAAATTGCTTCTTATATAGGAAGCTATGTTGTCAAGATTCATTAAAAAGTGCAGAGCCTTGATTCATTGGTAAAATTAAGTCTGCTTGTTTTATTTCAGTTTTAGTGGATGGGATGCAGTAAACCCTTCCTTTTTTTCTGCGCTGCAAATTAAAATAATTTTTAAGGCATGCATTGTATGGCAGAATGAGTTTCATATTCCTTACTTTTCTTCTCATATGTTTGTACCCCTGCCAGCAAGCATTCTGATCTATCTGAAGACGGCTGTTTTACACATGCCATTGATTTTGTCCTTCAATATTTCCCCCGCATGAGTTAATGTTGGAGTTTACGTTCCTGATATGGAAAAGAAGCTAAGGAGCCAGCCGTTCCCAAAGCAGTGATGCAAGTTATATAAACAATTAAGAACCACTCAGATGAGGCAAATCTTTGACTCATGGGTATCATTGCCTTTGGGTATAACAGGAAATTTTCAATTTCACCCTGGCAGAAGCCAATCAATTATTTTATATGGCATCATCCTAGTGTACAATAAAGATCCTTAACCAGACATGTCATGTTATTTGTTTGAAAGCTTCTAGCTGGATTGAACTCTACAAGTCTAACCGAATTGTCTGGAAGTTTCTGCTAAGATTTTGTCAGGAAGCCTGACACTTGTCTAATGAGCAGAATTCATTCCAAATCTCTTGAGACAGATCTAAGAAATAATCCCTTTTCTTTAGCATCATCAGAAATAGGTTGGCTCCTACGTTATCTGTTTTAAGATTCGGTTTCAGCTGTATAACCGATGCAGATTACCTATTTCTGCAAAGTTCAGACAGACCGTAAATTATTTTTTGGCAAGCACCCTTGGGCTACTCAATTTTCACAGAAAATTGGCTTCTTTCTAGACATCTGCCCTTCAAATGACTGCAGATGGCATTATTTGTTGTGAAATAAAAAAGGGAAAGAGCAAGCAAGCACATGCAGCTATTTCTTCTGAAATGATCACTTAGTCTAAGGGCAACTGTTACAAACAACGTCTCTTTGGGAAGAAACAATCACAATTTATGTTGTTCCAAAAACAATGAACTGTAAACACCAGAAACGGATCTCAGGGGAGCAAGCAGACAAGCAAGATGCTTCCAGGCAATCAGCCTTTACATTCTCCAACTCTTCTTTTTGAACTTTAAAAGCCATCAAGGTTTATCTATTTTGACATTTATGGACAACTGGGATGCTACATGCTTGGAAGTGATTAAATGTTTGCAAATCCGAAGCACACTCAAAGGATCAACAGCCAATCAACAATTGGCTTTTCTGGATAATTCCTGTACATAAAAAATTGTCAGCCAATCAATCCTCTCGGATTGAGCCTGATAGCGATCTTCCAATATTTGAAGGATTGCCAGAGGGAAGAGAACGTTGATTGATTGTCCACAGCACCTGAGGCAAGGCAAGAAGAAATGGGTGGAAGTTCATCAGAGGGGGGATCCAACCTGAAAATAAGGAGGAATTTCCTGACAGCAAGAACCATAAAGCAGTGCCTCCCGGAGTTGTAAGTGCTCCATTGCTTGAGGTTTTCAAGAAAATTTAGGACAAACAATTGTCCAGGATGGTATAAGGACTCCTACCTTGGACAGTGGGTTGGCCTAGAAGACCTTTAAGGTCCTTTCCAGCCTTATGATTCTCTGAAAATTTCAAGTAGGACAGACTTTTCTCATCACCCAAATATCACAAAGTTAGGAAAGTGCTTCAAATATTCCTTAAATTGAAACCACTGAGAAATACATTTGTTTTGGGATGTAACATTGACAAAAATGTCTGTAAAAAGAGTATTTAGAAGCTATAACTGGCACCAGATGCAGCAGTGCAAACAGTTTTAGGTCCCCTTGGGTGGCACATCTTACATTATTGCTGCACAAACAGTATTGGTTGCCACTTTGCTTCCGGGTCCAATTTAAGGTGTTGGTCATAACCTTTAAAGCCCTTTATGGCATGAGTCCAGGTTACCTGAGAAACTGTTTCACCTTGATGGGATTGGCCTGCTCCACTCAGTCTGGTAGAAGAGGCATACTCCTGACCTTTTGAACATCATGCTCCTTGAGGTAAAATCCGCCCCCCTCCCTCTTGCCCTTCCGAAAGGGTCTGAAGACCTGGATCTGGCAACTGGCTTATGGCCCTTAATGGGGCATCTCATTTGGCTAGTAGACTAGTAGAAGTTCTCATCTCCGCCCTGTGTACAAATTGGTTCTTTTATTCGCTGTGTTGTTAACTTAATGTTTTAACTTTGCTACCTAACGTTTTAATCTTTTGATGTTTTGATTGTTTTATGACTTTATTTATAACATTGTCAGCTACCCAGATGAGATGATAATGAGATAGGTGGCATATAAATTACATTAATAAATAATTTAAACAATTTCCTCTGAGTTGGATGGATTTCTTGGTAATTAAAGGTTAGAAAACTGGGAGAACTGAAGACATGAGAAGAATGAGTTCTATATTCATCTTGAGTATAGATGGAGAAAATGTAAGTGCTTTGAGTATTTTCCCGTATATATTTATTTGAGGGTTGCTGATAAGCTCCATAGATAATTAAAACAACTTTAAATGTTTTATTAATTGCAATTCTAAAGTTAATGACCCATTGATATAATATAGCTACAGTCCTAAAACTATTGATATAAATTTGGTAGCTAGTGTACTAGTGAATTAAATACATATAGCCCTCAACTTAGAACCACAATTGGGACTGGGATTTTGGTTGCTAAGCAATGAGGTCATAAGTCATCATGGGAATGATTTGGTTTTATGACCATTTTACTGTGGTCATTAAGTGAATCATAACATCATTAACAGAAGCCAGCTTCTCCAGTTGACTTTGCTTGTTGGAAACTGGCTGGGAAGGTGGAAAATTGCAATCATGTGACTGCAAGATGCTGTAATTGTTGCAAATGCAAGCCATTGTGATCAGGTGACCTGATGGTCATAACGTTGAGGATGGCTCAAAAGTCACTTTTTCTGAAGCCCTCAGAACTTCCAACAGTCATTAAACAAATAGTCATAGGTCGCGGACTACCTGTGTATACATTTGGTAGCAATGTCCATCTATAGGTCACAATTATAGGCATCAAAACGGATAAATAGAACATAATTCTTCATTAGGTTACAGCACAGCATACAGTTATGTATAGAGTATGCTGGGGATGAGGTCAGAAAAGTCAGAATACTGGCTCAGCACCAGTGGTGGGTTGCCCCCAGTTTGCACCGGTTCTATAGAACCTGTAGTAAAACCAGCAGGAGGCTCCGCCCACTGACCCAGAGGTCATCAAAACACTTCTGCACATGCGCAGAAGCTTCTGTGCTTGTGAACCGGTAATAAAGGTAAGTAGAACCCACCCCTGCTCAGCACATAATCAAAGCATGTCTCTTTGTATGTCACATGGACACACATACAGTACATACAACTTAAACAATGATTTTCACACACCAAACTCAGCCAGATAACAAACCCTGACTTTGGATTGCTACAAGTTCTATCTTACAAGACATCAAAATAATATATATGTATATACCCATCATGGTACTCCCTTAGGCGAGAAATTTTAGGCAAAGTTCAGAAATTTGCTCAGACAAAGAAATTGGGGCCCGAAGAAATAGAGATAAACCTAGCTTTTTCCAGCATTATTTGCTGTACCTGTCCCTATGTTTATATTAATGCAAAGCATTCTTGCTATCAACACGTCCATACCAAAATAAATACCTTTATTACCAGTTCGCAACGGGGCCACGCATGCGCAGAAGCTTCCTGATGACGTCGAGGCTGGTGGGCGGAGCCTCCCACCAGTTTTACTACCAGTTCTATAGAACCAGTCCGAACCGGGGGCAACCCACCACTGGTCCATACATTGATTTGAGGGTGGGTGGGTATTCATTATTTTATTTATAAAATAAAAGTCAGTATTTTATTTCATAAGGTCACACTATCACAATACTTGCCTAAATCTCTAAACACAGAAATAGTGTATGCAGCAGCACATGGAGGAAACAAGCTTGGAAAAAAACTTGCACTATAGATTCGGATGCCTGAAAATCAGAAAAGTGTCCATACAGATTTTCCTACAGTAATGGAGGGCCTGACTCTGTAGAAGCTGGCAGCCTATACTTAAATGATTAAGGAAACACTGTTGATTAATCTCTCTTGGCTCAGTAACTGATCCACACTGGATATTTGTGATTTGCTTAAAAATAATTTAAAACGTTGCCTTCATGCAGAAGTGCTATAGGCCATAAGGCTAAGTCAGGGCCAACCACAGTTACTATTTTTCTTAGTTCAGGGGAGGGGGGAAAAAATCCTTGGCTGAACATACTGATTATCTCAGTGGGATGACTGGAGAAATGGGAAAGTAATTAGAGTTATATTCTATTTTCTAAACTTGGAGAGGTTTAAGAAAAGTCAGAGGAACCAAGGCACGCCTTAAAATGAGGAAATAAACAAAACACTTGCATTTATAATAGCATACCATCCCTATGTATCTGGGACCTTAAAATACTGATCTGGTATTTAACTTCTCCTGTCCATTTTGACTCCGTGCACCCCATTTTCAGCCTTCGTGCATCCCATTTTTGGCCTGTTCCAGGCGGCAGGGATCGCCGCTGCTGTGGCCTATCCCCACTGCCTGGAGTGGGCCAAAAACGGGATGTGCAAAGACCGAAAATGGGGCATGCGGAGGCCAAAAATGGAGCATGTGGAGGTGGCAATAGGTGGCGGCGGTGATAGGTGGCAGTGGTGATCTCTGCAGCCTGGAACAGCTGATAGGCAGTATTCCAGGAGGCAAATCTAACCGTCAATCAGCTGCTCGTGCTAAATCAGGCTGTGCTGAAGCTGACCAGGGTGTTTGCTGCAAGGAGGCAAATTGCTGGGAAGCAGAGGCAGATTTTTCTTTTCTTGTTTTCCTCCCCAAAAGCTAGGTGCATCTTATAGTCTGGAGCATTTTATAGTCCAAAAAATACTACATGCATACATATACATATGATGAGCAAAACATTGTGCTATGCCTACTTCGAAAATTGTTCAGAAGAAATTTTAAAACTTTGCACAAGCATAGCATATCTCTGCTGCTCATTAAAATAGACCCTCTTTTTTCTGGCTTTTGTGTAAATATGAAGAAAGATGCCTCTATTTTAAGGAATCAGTTCATTAAAGAAGTTAATGTAACTTTTAAAGCAGTTACTTTTTTATTTATTTTTTTTACAAAAGTTCTATAAGGAAAATACTCTGGCTGATTCACTAAAGATGTGATAATGACAAAGAAATGGTTTTGCTTGGATGACTGAACAGCATATAGTAGTTGTAGGTATGTATTATATGCGTCCAATCGCACTCACTAAGCCTATTGGCCCTGATAAGCCTATCAGCCTACATCATTGTCCAGATTTCTTCACAGAACTCGAGAACTTTCTGGGCTCCCTGTAAACACAGGGAGATCAGCAGTAGCAATGTTAATGACCCTTCTCATCTTGCCATTCCAGAGTGAAACTGGAATTTCAACAGAAGCACTA